TTTGTCAATATTTCTAAGCACATGTGGGTTTTTATACTTATAGATGAACAATAGTTTTAATTTTTCTGTTTCTGTTGTATTAGAAGTTAATAAAATTGTAACTTTTTCTTTTGCTTTTTTTGTTTCTGAAACTGGACCTGTTGCTAATATACAGGAAGGCTCATCCAGTAATACAAACTAGTTTCATCATAATTGAAAACATCTTTAAACCTATAAGGTTAAATAACACTTTGTAGTTTACTTCTAAATTTGAAGAATTTTTCCAAAGATGCACTATCAGCTTCACCTTGCCTCTTATATTTACTAATGTTGTGTCTTTTCTTAAAGTTATATAACCAACTATTTGAAGCATTAAATTTATCTTCATTTAGTAATGATGCAAATTCTTTCACCTTATTTTGGATAAGATAGCTTGTTAATATTTGCTTATTACTTATAACATCTTCTATCCAAAGTGTCACTGCCAATTCAATGTTAACAAAAACAGGTTTTTTGCTTCTCTTATTTGTTGCATCTTTTGAATTTAAATTAATCAATAACCAATGATCTAACTTTGCTAAAATTTCATTACATGTTGATTCACCAATACTATATTGGGCAGCAAGGTCATGATTTTTAATACTAAGTTTTTTTTTTTAAAGACATAAATTATATCTTTGTTTGTTGATTAAAGTAACACTTCTTTTCTTTTGAGCTTTGTTATTACTATTATTGTTTTGTCACTTATTTGTACCAGTATCCATTACTGCACTTGCTAAATAAAAAACATGAAAATTTTAATTTTTTTTAAATTATACTGATTAATAATGCTATACAAATGCTTCATTATCTTATTTAATAATTTATTATATAAAAGTATTCATTATAATAAAATAATTTTGTTATGAACAAAAAATAAATTATTTTGTTATATGTTATAACAAAGTTTTATAATTAAATTTATATATCAAGGTTAATTTATTAATAAAAAATTTTAGCTAAAAAAATCTTTGTTATAATGCCATATTCAGTTTATTGAAGTTCATTATATCAAGGTTATACTGTATATGATAAACACTAACACTATTACTGTTACAAATCCTGTGAATCCCTATAATGTTACTGTTCAAGTCCTTGACTACATGACTTATCCAATTTGTATTTGTTAACCTAAAGTAACTGAAAGACTTAATCATCTATTAGACAAATCTAACATCCTTTTTTGAAAAGGTTACTTATTATATATTATGTGAGATATTGAATTGTGAAGTGACAGAGTTATAAACTTCTGAACCCAACAGTATCTATTTTTTTATACTAGCCTTTACAGTAAAGCCATCAAAGATCCAGTTACCTTTCTACTTAAATCTTTTCAAATAGACTTCTTGTTACCTAATTTCAACAGATTTATACAGCCACAAGAACTTATTTAGTGTTTGTACTATCTGATTTGTTAGTTTGCATTTCTCTGTATAATGCCATACTTACACAGATGCCTTATAACCTGCTAGTTATGCTGGTATGACTGCTATTACAAGTATTCTAATCCAATTGTTAGTAACAGTTGCTGTAATATAAATATTATATAGGTAATTATTCAAATTTTTGCTATTAATAGGATTTGAACATCCAACCTACTACTTGGGAGGTTAACAACCTAACCAGTTTACTAGGTTGCCACACCTCTCATTTATTTTAATACACTTAATATTCTATATATATATATAATTATATTTTATTAAATTTTTTCAAGTTTAAAAGTTTTTATTATATATTTAATAAGTATTCTTCTTTTTATACTGCTTTTTATTATAATGCAATGTACTTTTTTGGTGTCTTTATTCTTTTCTGAAAATATATCTAATTATATATTATAATTTTTGTTTTTAATTCTAAGTTTTTAATTATTTTTGTTTCTTTTTATTTTGCTTCTAATTTAGTATTTTTACTAGTATATATAGAAATCTTGTTAGTATATCAATTTGGTTGTTTTTCTATTCTTAAAAGTACTTTATTTCTTTATAACTAATTTTTTTTATATATATTATCTTTTTATCTATTACTTCTTTTTTTAAAAAACTATTAACTTTGTTATTTTATTTATTTTTATTATAATTATAATTTTAATAATTTTATTTTATATTTTTTATCTTAGTAAAATTAATAATTTTTGATATCTATATTATATTTTTTTGAAAATCTTGTTTTTACCTATATATTGTTAACCTTTATTAATATTTTTTATTACAGAATTACTATTTATATATATTATTACTTGTTTTTTTTTAGTATTATTATTATAGCTAATTATATTATTATTAATTTAACTATTATTAATGTTAATTATTCTTTGCTTTTTTTATTTAATCTTATATTCTATTTGTTTAAACTTATCCTATACTTATATCTTTATTTAATATTTTTTTAGTCTTTTTTATTATTAAACTGTCTATATAAATTGTATATTTCTTTTACTTTATATTATATTCTATTTTTAAATTATATTTCTTTTTAACTTTTGCTTTTTGATTATTTCTATTTTTAACTCTTATAATATTACAAGTCTTTTTATTTTTCTTTATTTATTTTTTAACTTTATACATTTGTCTTTTCTACTAATTAATCTATTATTATCATAATATTATTACTTTTCTTTATTAAAGCTTTTAGACTTGTATTTATTTTATTGCTCATTCTTATCTATTTTTTTAATAGATTTTCTTTTTTGAACAACTATTATAAATACTAATTCAGTTACTAGTTTATTTTTATTTTTTTATATTTATTAGTATTTTATTAATATTTTTTCTTTTTTTTAATAGTTTTTCTAACTATCTAGCACTTGGTAAACTATATATTTTCTTTTTTTTCTGTTTTTTAATATTCTTTTTACTTAATTTCATATTTCTTTTTTATGTTTTTGTTTATTTGTTTTTTGTATTTATTTTTATTTCATTTTTTTTTCTTAAATTATTTTTTGTAATCTTTTATGTTTTCTATTTAAATATTTGATCATTGTTTGTATAGTATTAAGATTTTTTTTAAGGTGTCCTCTTGGGTCTTTTGACTTTATTTAATGATAATAAATATAGTTTAATGAACTACTATAAAAAGAGCATATAATTGGCTATATATATAACTTTTCTATATTATCTATTTATAGAGTCTGCCTAAAAGTTCCTTATCAATTGCTGTATTTAACACCTCTGCTTGGATATTCTACTTTAAATCCTCTAAACCTGCAAACCTGTTAACTTCACTAGATCATACTTGATGCCTAGATTATCATCTCAACCTTAGAACTATTTTATTTTTAAGATAAACCTTCAGAGCCTTTTGTATCTATTTTTACAGTTAAGCTAAATATTGCTATGACAGAACCAATACTTGTGATCAGAATTTAACTATTAAACTACTATACCCTTATAGAGTTTACTTAGACTTCAACATCTATTTTATAATATAACTCTGGTACTTTAGTATATTTTTATCTTTTTCATCTACCTTTTTATTAAACTTCTAATTTAGATAATCTATGTAGAACTATAACCAGTTTATTAGTATATTAGGTTGGCTTGATATCCTATTTTTTACTTTGTTCTAGCAACCTGGTTGATGATACTTTTAAAACTTCCAATCTGAAGATTCTTGTCTGTTCAGTTACTATGATTAGATACTATGATCTTGGTATTTGTTTCTCTAAACTAGTCTTTACAGTAGAATCATTAAAGATCCAGTTACCTCTTTACTTAGGTCTTCTCAAATAGACTTCTTGTTACCTAATTTCAACAGATTTACATAGCTACAAGGACTTATCTAGTGTTTATATTATCTGATTTGTCAGTTTGCATTTCTCTATATAACTCCAATATTGCACAAATACTTTATGATCTGCCAATCATACTAGTGTGACTGCCATTACAGATATCCTAACCCAATCATTAGTAACAGTTACCATAATATGAATATTATATAGATGATTATCTAAATTTTTACTGTCAATGGAATTTGAACACCCAACCTACCACTTGGAGGATTGACAACCTGACTACTTCACTAGGTTACCACATCCAAAATATTAAGATTTTTGTATCTGATTTTTTCTTAAATATTTTATCTTTTTTTTGCTTTACTTTTTTTCTTTTTTATTATTTTTTAGTCTTTTTATTCTTTATATATTTTATTAATCTTTGAAGTTTTACAATTTACTCTTCTTGTTATGCTTTGTGCTATTATTTCTATTTGTTATTATATTATATATCTTTTTTCTTAATATATGCTTACTTACTATTGTAGCATTGCTTTTTCTATTATATCTTATACATATATAGTTTATTTTGTTTCTTTATTATTATTCTATTTGTTTTTTTGAATATGGTTTATTATATTTTTTTTTCTACCTATTTTTGTAACTCAGGATAATTAGAAGTTCAATTCATGCCTATAGTTTAGAGTCATATACTAATAAAGTTCTATAGTTGTATTGCTTCTACAAAATAAAAAAAATTTTAAAGTCCTTTTTGAACCCATAAAATATAATAATACTCTTTAAACTCTAATACTTATCTTGTAATGCTCCCTAATGATTGCCTTGACTTTGTGCCAAATCGTAAAACTGCCTATGCTAACCGTTGAGGAACGTTATATGACATAATCATTTTCAAGTGACAATCCATCACATTTGCCCCATCTCTAAACTCGACCAACTAACCTGTGACAATAAATATTAGACATATTTTCCAAAAAAAACAAACAAATTTGATAAAATTATTTTAAAATAAAACTTTACTATAAAAACTACATTCTTTAAACAATATTTAGTTGTTAAAACATACTAGCAATGGTTTTATTAAGACAAAAAGGTAACTGATGTAATAGACTGAATATAATTTTGCAAATAATTATGAAGAAATTGATACTGAAGAGTCAGAAAGACTTTATAAGAGAAAAGAAGAATTGGATTAATAAAAGTAATTTTAGTAGCTGTTGCTTACATTCTCGAAGTCCATTGTTTTAAAATATCATTTTACCGAAGTAGTAATAGGTCTGTGTCATTTCACCGAATATCAATTAATTGAAAAGTTTATTTCATTGACAGTTTATTTCATCGACGGTCATTTCACCGACAAAGTAATTATGGTCATTATCATTAGGGTCAAGTTTAAAATTAGATCATTTTTAAAAAAAATCTGTCAGTGAAATGATCTGTTAGTGAAATAATTGTCGGTGAAATAGACTTATCCGGCTAATGGATTTTCGACAAAATGGCAGAAAAATGGATATCGGAATGTTAAACCGAAACCATTTTAAACGCATCTATTTAGAAGTTTTTAACGTTAACGTTAATCAGTAACAAAGATCAACCAAATTCGGTAAAAGGTGTTACAATGCGTATGTGATACACGTACGTATGTAATAAATAAACGTTATAAAAAGCAATACAGCACATCTTTAATAACCTCAAAAAATTTAACAAGTCTACGTATTTGCAACATATTCTTGCGTTACGTCAAAATGTCAAATTCAAAACAACCAGAAACAATTGACAACCAATTAGATATTACTAAAATATCTAACGAAATTAATGAAGTGTGTTTAGAAGATAAGTCAAGGAATTTTCACAATGAAATTATTAAAGAAATGTATTATTTGTATAATGAAAAATTAATGAAAGGCAGACAGTTTCGATCAATTATTGACGCCTTGGAACAATCTTTAATAAAAAAAAAGCAAAATCCAGATGATATTATAAAATATTGCTTAGATAATCAATTAGATCCTATGGTACAATTCGTTCTTGCAACTTGTTATAGTTGCGGTAAATGGATTGAAAAGGATAAACATAAGGCATTTATTTATTATCAAAAATCTGCTGACATGGGGGATGCTGAAGGAACACGTATTGTTGGAAATTGTTATAAAAATGGATTTGGAGTTGGAAAGAATAAACATAAAGCATTCATTTATTATCAAAAATCTGCAGAGATGGGGCACGCTGATGGAATAAATCATGTTGGAAATTGTTATGAAACAGGAATTGGAGTTCAAAAGGACAAACATAAGGCATTCATTTATTATCAAAAATCTGCAGATATGAGGGACGCTAATGCAATATATAATGTTGGACGTTGTTATCTTTATGGAATCGGAATTAAAAAGAATGAACAAAAGGCTTTTGCATATTATTTAAAAAGTGCCGAATATGGACATTGTTGTGGAATGTATCGTGTTGGTTGGTGTTATCAGAATGGGATTGGTACAGAAAAGCATAAAGATTTGGCATTTGAATGGTATCTGAAATCAGCAGTTACTGAACATAAATGTATTTATGGTAACAACTATTTCCGATGGATAGAATACGATAATTTTAGAAACATTGAAGAAGTAGGTAAAGGTGGATTTTCCGTAGTGTATAAAGCATTATACAAAAGACAATATGGAACGCATGAAGAAGTTGCAATAAAGATAATAAAAGATTCGCATAAGAATAAACAACTTTTTTTAAACGAGGTATTTTATTTTTTATGTCATTGTTCATTAATTAATTAATTAAGTATAAATTAATTAAATATACCTTGTTTATGAATTAGTTAAAGGCATATCACGCATTTGGGAAATATAATGGCATATCAATGGATAAAAATACAGGAGATTTTATTTTAGTGTTGAGTTACGCAAAATTTGGATCATTACGTGACAATCTTAACGATATATTTAAATTGGAATGGAAAATCAAACTTAAAATATTATACGATATCATTAATGACTTATCAAATATTCATTCTCAAAAATTTATACATCGAGATTTACATTCAGGTAATATTTTGTTAAAAGAAGGATATAAAGCTTATATTACAGATTTAGGTTTATCAATATTGTTTGATGAAAAACAAGATAGTCACATTTATGGTGTTTTGCCGTATTTAGCGCCTGAGATCTTGAAAGGTGAACGTTTTACTCAAGCCGCTGATATTTACAGTTTTGGAATTATTATGATAGAAATATTAACTGGTCGAAGGCCTTTCGATGGTTATAATTTTGATGCTGAGTTAGCGGCGATGATTTGTCATGGATTACGACCTGAGCTTAATATAAGCACACCACAATGTTATGTTGAATTAGCCAAACAATGCATTAATTCCGATATGCAGAAAAGACCTACGGCCGTTAAGATTATTAGTAAACTTAAAAATTGGAAAAATATTATAGTTGCCAATGATAGTAATTATGGTGACGATAATAATAATTATAGTGATGATGGTGTTTATGATAGCGACAATGATCATGTTAATAATCATGTTGGTAATCAAGTTGATAATTATGGTGATTATAGTGACGATAATAGTAATTATAGTGACGATGATAATAATTATAGTTATGGTGTTTATGATAACGACAATGATCATGTTAATAATCATATTGATAATCAAGTTGATAATTGTGGTGATTATAGTGATGAAGAGATTAAGCAACAATTTTTAGATGCTGATAAATTAATCAAAGAACAGCCAATTACTACAAAAAAACATGAGAATATTACGTATACTTCTAAACTTATCGATACGATAGAAGTCTGTTCAAAATTTGAAAATTTTAGGATTAACCAAGATCTTAAACCAAGCAAAGAAATTCGTATTGATAATATTGATAGCAATTTTTCTTTTCAATATTTTCATCAAGAATAGGATTAAATGATATATTGTATATTGGGAGTGTGATATTTATAAAGAAAATTTGTTGATAATTATTATATAAGAAAAATAAAAAATCGGCAATATTTCAAAATTTTATTAGGAAAACTGGTGGAGGTCCTTAAGTAAAAATGTCCAGCTCTTAATTTTACATACAATTAAACCTTTAACTCTAATTTATCCGATCTAATATATTACTGTAATTACACCTTTAACACTAATTTATCCGATCTAATATAGTATTGTATAATCGCGAAATAACGCGCAGGCGCAGCGGCGTTATTTTGAATAAATTAAGTTTAATTTAGGGTCAAAATACAATTACACACCCACTTGTTATTTCACGCATATTCTGAATATGTATATATTTTTATATCGAGTATCAAACCTACAGGGAATTTTCCTATTATAAATACCTTTTATTAATATGAAGCATATAATTAAGATATTATTTACTTACGTTTAGTGATGGCCAAGCGCGGGATTCATCACGTGATGTTCTAGCTAATTTGGGCCAATGCCATATTCCGACCGAAACTTACAGTAATCTTGGTAACAAACCACGAATCCCGCGCAGGATTTTTGGCAAAACCGTGATTTGACCATCTCTACTTATATTTATTATATATTTTTAAACTTTACATATTTACATAAAATTTCTAATACAAAATTTTCACATTAGATTAAGAGCGTAAATCATTTTTACTTAAGGCATTAATTAGCCAGTTTTTGAGATAATATACTGTATAGGGTAATAGGGGTATTATGAAGCAGGACAAATTATGACGCACCCGACATATCTCCCGATCCACTGGCAGAATCGAACAAGTTTGATGCCTGTCTCGTTGAGACGAGTTACGACTATTGTCAGGGTTGGGAATGGACTATGATGGGTTCTGACAGAAATGTTAATGGATATTGTCCATTGAGTCAATGGACATAGTCCATTGACGTCTTCTAAGCCACATTTTGGTTCATTGGCCAACCTAGACAACTGTTGTTAGGAGAAACTTTGATAAAGCTGAAGCCCTGAAGAAAGTCAAAAACAGCGAAGAATTAAAATATTTTGTGTGTGACTAATAAACACAGTATGCAACTTATATAAAAATATAAAAAACAATAAACAAAGCGATGCCTTTTGTTTGTATTTAAATCAATTTAGCCTTGAAAATTCGAAGCCTAAAATCCTGTTTTCTTTTAATGATACTTATCTATGTATTAATATTATTTATGCAAAATAAACTTATGTAAATATTTAAATAATATTATTGTTATATTGTTAAGATTTTTTTCTTTAACATTTCATTGCTAAAACTTTAATTAAATATTATAAATATGTAATTAGTTTGTTAAAATTATTATTACTTCCTGAAGTCTATTTGTGTTGTTGACTTAAAATAAATCAAATTTACATTCTGATTGATCAAATCGCTTTAGTTACACCTCAGCAATGCATCGAACCTGCAATAAATGATAACTAAAACTTATCGTTATTTGATTTATAATACAATTACCAATTATCAAAAACTTTTATTGTAGAAAATGTATATATTTTAAAAGTATAATATAAATAAAATATGATATTAGGTCTATATATTACGGGACAAATTGGTTTTAGATCAAGTTAAACTTGACCCAGGTCATTAAGGAACCTGGTCAGCATCAACATGATACGGCCCGCACTAACCCTAAAATTTAGCTAGATTTCATTTTGAACCGGGTCAAGCTTAACTTGACCTAAAAACCAATTTGACCCGTTAGCATATATAAATAAAATTGATAATTATGTAAAGTTTTATTTTCTTTAATTACCTTTCTATTCTTGTCTCTTTTACTAGCTTTCTCACCTTTTACTAGCTTTCTTACCTTTTACTAATTTAATCACCTTTTTCCACTTTCACCACCTTTTAGCAGTTTCGCCATTTCACCATTTTTAATTTTTCTTTTTGGCAAAGTTGAGACTAGCTTCGACTTTTGCCTGTAGCGAAATCTCTAGGTTTTGCCTAACAAAACTAGTCTTCACAAATAAATTTCTCGACCCAACCTCTCCTGCCACACGCTTTAGCCTCCTAATTTTGCTATTTCCTATTTAACAGATGGCCTGCTTCGAGCAGGTGGGAAACTACTTGCTAATTTTCTGGGCGCATATCATCGTTTCAGTTACTCATAATATATTCTGCGGAGTTTATGTTTTTAATTGAATTTATTTCCGGCACTTTTGGCTAGCCGCATTTATCCAACTACCAGTCGTACCGATGCTTTTCGAGTACATATAGGAACCCTATTAATAAATTTGATTAATAACAGTCAATCGAGATGTCACGCAGATCATGGGAATAAATTTTTTACTATGAAACTAGGTGCTTGAGTTGCTTAAAAGGAGTTAGTTATATGATAGTATTGTACTGGTACAATATACATGTGGATTCAGATAAGCATTTGTGCAATTTTATTTAAGTTAATGAATTTTAAATAGCAATGTGATAAGATCTGTATGTATGAGTGATGATGCTTTTACATTGATCTTATAAATGTTTGTTATTGATTATGTTCATAACTAGTTAAAATAACAATTGAGATAATATATTTAATATTTTTTTTATAAATTTATTTTATTCATTCTGATTTAACCTGCAAGCATATTTGCTTTTAATTTGATTTAGTCAACAGATAGAAGATAACATACTATGTAATGTAAGATTATTAATGTCAAGAATGTATGTTGTGTATATGAGTTCAAAAATATTGTGAGGTTAAGTAAATGTTTAAGATTAGGAACATCAGAGTGTCTAAGTGCTTATTTATTCTTTATTTCTTATTTATTTATTTAAATAATTAATTATTTATGATAGGGGTGTGATAACTTAGTAAAGTAGATAAGTTGTCAACTTCCAAGTAGTAGGTTGTGAGTTCAAAACTCAAAATGACAAAAATTTGAACAATCACTTATGTAATATTCATATTACAGAAATTGCATTTCATTAATCAGTTAGGATAAGATATCTTACTTATAGTTGCACTAGCATGACTAATAGGTCATAGTGTATCTATATAATCTCAATTATACAGAGAGATGCAAACTGATACCAGGTGATGCAAACCCAAGATAAGTCCTTGTGGTTGTGTAAATCCAAAGAACTAGGAATAACTGAAATATATTTAGAAAGACTCAAATAGAAAGGTAACACAAATCTTTGACAGCATTACTGTAAAGTCTACATTTAGAAAACAAATGCAATATAGAAGAATCAGATAATAAAAATCTTTAGATAAGAAGTATTACCAATTAGGCTGTTGGAATCAGACTGAAGGAAAGGATATTAGGCCAGACTTGATATACTAAGAATAGGTCACAGTTCTACTGACCTATCTAAATTGGGACTCTGAGTTTAAAGCAAAAATATATTATAGATATTAGATATATGTTGTAAAATAAGTGTTGGGATTTGGGTAAACTTTACAAGAGCTAGTCTTGTTAATGTTTTGTAAATTGGGCAGATAATTAACAGAAGAACACTCTGAGGCCTTATAGTCAAATAACATAATTTGAAATAGATAATATATACAAAAAAAGATTAAATGTTGAGTTAGATAAAGTTTTGAGTACAGAAACCAGGTGATAAAATTTATATAGAAGATGATATTTAGATATACAAAAGCTAGATGTTACTTGTCTAAGTAAAGTACAGAGATTAGAATGTTTAAATAGATAATCTCTTAGTAGATTATAGATATAGTAGCTAATATAGAATTCTTAGATAGACTACTTAAATAGTTAACTAAAAGTTGCATATACTGTTAGTAGTACACTCATCATATATAAGTTATATATAAAATATAATTAAAAATAAAATAAAGGTAGTAACTACTAATAATATTAATCTTACCAAAAAATAAAAAAATTTATTTAAGACTTAAAAAATTAGATAAATCTAAAACTTAAAGATGAATAAGATGAAAAGATTAGACCTCAACAAAGCTTAGACCAATTATACTAAATGATGAAATAATAGGTTAAAAATATTTATTAAATTAGAAATAAGTTTATATCTAATTCAAAAGAAAAAAAGTTATACTAAAAATGTAAATATTATGCCTATTGTGAGTCTGATTTTTAGAGTTACAAATGTCTGTATCAAGATAATAATTCTGCCCCAATCCAAAATCACATGAACATGACAAAAATGTCATTTATGTTACTTATGTCATTTCTATAACTTTACCTACATATAAGTTAAATAAAATATTAGCATTTTATTAAACTTAGTTAGGATATAGAATATAAGTAATATAATGTGTTTATGAGAGAAATTAACTGCAAATATAAACAAAATGTTTATTATAAATAAAAGGCATTTTTGCCTTAGAAAAAAAATAACTTTCACCTTTATAACTACAAATTTCTTAATAACAAATAAATACCAGACCCTTAATAAAATTAAAAGTCTATACTATACAAACTAATAAACTATCATAAACCTTATCATTACCTTTATCCTTTATTTAAATAAATTCCTAAACTTAAAAGTTGATCACTTACTGCAAGTCATATAACAAGATTATTAATGTTATAGAAAATTTCCAACTCTGATTCGATGAAGAGTAATTCTAGATTGAAGCATAAAATAAAGATTAAAAAAGATGAAGAGTTAGTAAAAGACTAAATTAAAGAAAAGCTCTAGAGAGAAGATTAGAACTTATCTATAGATAAACTACTCAGCCAAATCTAACATGCCTAATTCAACTTAGCTGCTATAGATTATATAAGAGTTAGATTAATTTATTAACAGACTTGCCAATTCCAAAATCACATCATGTATTTCATTCTTTAAATAAAGCTTTAAATTTAATATCTTAGTTATAAAGTGATTATAAAATGAATCAGATTCTCTATTATTGTTATATATTTTAATGTTATGTATATTAATTATTCTTGTTTATTAAATAATTATAATAATCATACAATATTATATTTATTTATTTTTTTTTTAAAAATTAAGGTAAGTACTTGCGACTCAGGATTTTATTGATAGTATATATAGCTAATAGTTGCATTATAACTACAAAGAGTAACTATAGAAAGAGTGTACAACTAGCCATCTGTACAACATTATTATTGTCTAATTTAAGTAGTTCATCTGAAGGTTTTACACTAGCTGCTATACTTAGAACCTGCTTGCAGATTCTCTATTTAACTACTCTAGTTTCTGTATTCATCTACCTACCTCTGCTTACCAATGACTCTGACTGATGTGCTAAAAATATGCCATGGCTACTAAGTTTTTAAAGCAGTTCTTGGAACCTTTAACCTTGTACTAAACCTTCTAAAATCTTCTGTATTTCATTCTTACAGCTGATCTGGTATCACTATAGCTAAGACCAACATTAATAGTCAGAACATACTATTAAACTACTATGCTTTTGAGAGTTTATTCCAACCTCAATACTAACTTCATAACATATTCTTATTACTTTGGTATTCAATTCAGGTTCTACCAAGCTACTATTCCAAATATCCCAGAAAGGTAGATTATAACTATATATCTTTAATTTATATGTTTGCTAGCATGTAGCTTTTTTTCTGAAATTCAGAAATTTTAGTAACTTAGTTAGTTTATTCAGTCTCTTCTCAAAGATCAGCACATTTGCCCAGTTTCACAAATTCTAGCTCTGTTTTATAAGTCTAGTCTTTACAGTAGCACTGTTAAAAGTTTGTGTTAGCTCTCTACTTGGGCCTTCCAAATGGACTTTCATCTTACTATCTGGTTCCTGTGATTTACAAAACCTAAAAACTTATTTTGAGTTTACACCACCTAGTACCAGTTTGTGTTTCTTTGTACAACATTGTACAAGTGCCTAGACCTCCAGTCATGCTGGTATAACATGGTTACAGGTATCTAATCTCAACTAATCACAAAAAAAGTTAATCATAACATAGAAAGAATTGCAAATTTTTACTATTACTAGAATTTGAACTCTAGATCTGACACTTGGAAATTGACAACCTATCCACTTTACTAAATTATCACACCCCTTTATATTTATTTATTAACCTCTTAAACTATTAATATTTTTAATATTTATCTTATATAATATTATATTATTATTTATTATAAATATTAATCCTTAATAACATATAATTATTGATTCAATCAATCACAATAATATAATTTGGTTATTTAATTTACTTGATTAATTACCGATAAATATAATTAAATAACCCAATATTAGATTAGATACATAATAATAATATGCTTAAGTTACTGTAACAAGTTATATAAGTTATTTATTTTTGATACAAAGAATATAAAATTAACTATTAGAGTTAAATTGATAATAATAGTTTAATAAGATTATAAAGCAATAGTACTATAAATTTAGATAAAATTAGATAATTAAAAATTGAAATAAGTTTTAAAATTGAGTAATATTGGTTTATAAGAATAAACTTAGTTAGAACTATTTAGTTATCAAATTAAGTATTTGACTTGTAATTTACCAGATTTATATATTATAAGTAATAATAAAATTCAAATAAATTCTTTGATCTATGAATACAGAAAAAATGATAATTAAAATACTAATAATTCTAAAATAAAAATTAAAACTCAAAAACATTAAAAAAAATTAATAATGGAAATTTATATTATCTTCATAGCAATAATAATAAAGATTAATTTTGACAATAATATATATACTGATAAGGGTTATTAAATTAAAAAAAAAGTTGTATTAGTTAGAAATTGTACATTATATATCACAACTTTTGCACCTACTTAATTATAATATAGAATATGATTTGAGATTATGAAAGATTAATTAATGTTAAATATATAAATTATTGAATAAAATTAATTAATAAGCAGAAATACATAATCACAAGCTACTAATTACAATAAAATATAAAAAACTGACAAAAAAAACATTTTTAAACTTTTTTCTCTTTAATACAATAGTTTTAAATAAACAAGTTTCTTAACTTAACTCTTTCTGTACAAATGATAATCTTTTGATTCTGCTATTTTTTTATTTAGTAGCTAATCTGCTTCAAGCAGATAGGAAACCACTAGCTAATGCTGCTTTTTACTTGTTCTACTGTTATAATAATACCTAATGCAATTTGATATGCTAAGTTTCTAAAAACATATTATTATTTTAGTTTAAATTATTAACTAAAATTGCTTACAATGTATTCTATAAACTTTGGATTCTTTAATTAAATTTATTTTTACACCTTTGGTAGCTGATATTTATTTAATTACAGACTAATTGTACCTATATTTTTTAATAGTGTTTAATTTTAACATTAATAAATAGCAAAGAAAACATTATTATATATCATTTTATTAAAAATAAGTAATATATATTATAAAAACTTAATGCATTTTGTTAATGAATATAAAATTTAATTTATAAAAATAAGACATAAAGTAGATATAAAATTAAGATAAAACAATAAACAAGAATAGAAATTCTTGATATAATTGCAACAATAATAACACTATTAATTTTAGTAAAAAAAATTAGTAAATAAAAATACCTAAACAGAAATAATATAAATCTTGTTTAATATAACATTTATTTAACAAAAATAGATAACTTGTACAATGAATGTTAATTTTGATTTAAAGATAAGCACTATAAAAAGCTTATACCAGGAATGATATATGAAATACATAAAGTAAGGTTTACTTAAGAGTAAAGTAATATATATGATTCTTAGCATATGATCAAATTATTTTTTATTGTAATCTTGTGTAGCATTCTGAACAATACATTAAAAGGTAGGTACCAGAAATGAATATTTCTATATACAAAGTCTTGAATTAATTGGCCTACATAACTTATTCATGATTCAGTAAAAAAAAATGTATAAATAAGCATATACATCTGTGAAATTAAAGATGCAATAACAAACAATAGTAAAAATATTTTTTTACACAAAAATTAGTAACCCAATATAAATTTAAAGTCTTCAATGCTAAATATTTTGTAAGTTTCATTTTTTTTTATCAACTTTTTTATTAGACAGATAAAATAATATTCACTAATCATCAATAACTTAATTAAAAAAAATTTGTTGATTATTTCTAAATATGTAGATATGTTTTATGAATTTAATGTTTTTTGCGAACCTTAGAATTTTAGATCAAATTTATTGAAACTAGTGATATGTTATTTATATGATATTCAGATTTGGTTTAACATATATTTGTACAGTATGTACAGTATATATAATATATATAGTCAGATATTAACTTTATTAATAGGTTTTTAAACTCTATCACTAAAATTCTAACCAATATTTGAATTGCAAATACTATTATCAACTTTTATAAAGAGACATTTTCTTATACTAGGAATGAATTGCAATGAAGAATATAGTTTCCTATAACTGAAATAATGTCTGTGTAAATTTTTTCTGTTCCTGGTTTTGCATGACAATATTGTACAGCTACTTATTTTATTAAATAAAATTATTAATAATACCTTATTAAGAAAAATTAAATTAATTATATGCAAATCAATCTTAAGAATTAGCACAGGCTAAGTCTAATTGATTAACAAATAATTCAATTAGTTAAAATGTAGATCAGCATCATGTTACTACTCACAATTTTTGATTATAGTTCACAGCTTTCATAAAACCAGTTCACAGTCTTGTAAACTGACTAAGAGAACAAAACATCTTTATTTTAAAGCCTATCTATAAAATGAATAATCTGTTAATCATCATATATAAAAAAAAAGCAAACAGTTAGTAGAATAAAACCAAGTTATGTGCTTATACTAATGAATTGATCATAAGGTAAGTTGGTAAATGAGCAGAATTACCAAAATCTAAATACTAACATAAAACATAATAAAATTTTATAATATCTTAATACTTTTTTTCAATATTCCATGCAAGAAAACTTACTATAAATAATTCAGATAATAAACAATACCAAATAGGTAATTAAAACAAAGCAAATAATGATTTATTAAAGTATACATCATATAACAAAAAAATAAATATAAATACAACCCAAGTATGATAAAAAATCTTTAGAGACTTGTTCAATGCTTTTGAACATTCTGACATTCAGTAGTTCAGTAGTATAGCAGTACAAAACATATAGAACATATAAAATTTTTTAATAATAATCATTACTGTTCTAGTCTAAAAGAAAAAGTAGCAGATTATGAGTAAACAGGTATTAGTTTAAAAGAAAAAGTGGCAGATTATAAGTAAAGAATATCCAACAATTAAGATGTTTTGCAGTCAATTACAGGCTTAAATAAAAAAGATAATTGGTGATTAAAAAAAAAAATTGGAGAAGGTTAATTTAAGTGATTAATACTTATAAGAAATTATCAATTTTAATAATAAATTGCAATGATAGACCATTTTTAGTTGTTATTTTTAGGAGCTCATAAAAAGAAAACTGTATTTTGAATAACATAAAATGATTTGACAAGGTAAATAACTTATTGTTCTTATGTTTAAAGTAAGAATAATAGCAAACTTGAAAAGAATCTTGTCTTCAAAGATGCCCTTTTGTTTTATAATTTATAGTATTAGTATGGTAACAGATAATAGCATTTTACTATAAAGAATAAAGTTACTAGTAAACCTCTGCACAAGAATTTAAAATCACTTAACAAATACAAACTTATAAAACTGGTAAAACCTATTTTTAGAGTATTAGTAAAGACAAAGCATTAGCTAATATACATTGTAAAAACTTCATATTGATTTAGATTAGAAGAATGAAAAGAATAAACAAGCCTATTATGCAAGAATGCCACATTTAACTTCTTTGGATCTCAGTTGAAAATAAAGTTGGATCAGAAAAATGAAAAATGTTAGTCAATTCACTTTATAAGAATAACATATTGACTTTTCTGGAATAATAAACTTGGATTAGAAGAGTGAAAAGCATTTGCTAATGCACTTGGTTGGAATATGATAAAAAGTAAAGTTGCACTTTCCTAAGTGCACCCCCTTAGGACTATAATAAAAAATAAATAAAATATGCATTTAGAAGAGATGTGTACTTAGGAAGATTAAATTTTATAATTATTATATTATTTGGGTCCAAGCAGAAATGTGCATTTAGAAAGGTTTTTTATATACTATGCATTTAAGAAGATGTGACTGTATTAGCCAATGCATTTTACTTGAACATCATGATTTTTTAAAGATAATCTTAAAATATTTTAATATCAAAATTATCTTTTATAGATTTTATTATAATTATTATTTCTTATTAAAAAAAATTGTAATTGAATATAATTAAATAAAATTTATTAAACACTTTATTATTAATAATGTAAATGAATTGCTAATTACTATATAAGTAGAAATTATTATTTATTAAACTATTAAATTATTATCAAACCTTAAAAATTATATAAAGCACAATAAACTAAGTCTGAAGATTTGTAGTTCTAACTCTGGTACTGTTTAAAAGGTTTTGGTTTTAGTGAATATTTTTTGAATTTTGAAGATCTTTTCAATTTAAAATAAGGCTAAAATTACAATAATGCATGATACATTACATGATAGTAAAGCACATTATAGGTAGTGGTCTTAATTGAATGCTACTAAGTAAAAATCCAATATTCTAAAAATAGATTTCTTTAGACAACAGAATACAGACTTTAAATGATGCTATTATGTGATTAAAAAAACAGTATAATTCATTATTTTAGTCAGATTAGTTAAAACTCTGCATTCTGTTGTTTATAGAAATCTATTTTTAGAATTCTCTTATTATAATTTAATAGAATTACTTATTAAATAAAATAAAGAATTATATAATTTCAAGAAGTCTTAACAATCAGTATAAGCTCTTTAATTCTCTTTAATATTAGAAAACTATAAAATTATGTATTTTCACTATTGTTAACAATAATCATTGGATTACATATTTTTAATAAAAAAATAAAATCCTTATCTGTTATTTGTTATATAAAATTCTATAAAATGTTCAAATACTAGCAAAGAGAAAAAATAGAGTTCTTATATAATGCTTTATTTGATCCTAAAAAGAAAATTCTATCCAATTTTAGCAAAGAATCCAATACTGACACTGAACAAGTAGGTGATGATGCTTTTATATTTAATTGGCATTTATATGAAAAAATAAAAAAATAATTATATCTGATAAAGAAATAGATAATGAATTAATTGAAAGTGATGAATCATTTGAGAGTAATAATAATAAGATAGAAATAATTGAGAAGGGTATAACATATTACTTCCTTTTAAGATAGACCACTCTACAAAATTTACAAATTGTATTGTTATTAATAATAAAATTAGTAATAAGTCAACTAAAATTCAACAATGCAACAGTGTGGGTGTTTGAAGTATAAATCAACTATCAGACATGTAAGAGGTTGACTCTCAAACTGTAAAAAAAGTTAATAATAAGATCTCAAGACTAGGCATTTGTCTGCAACATTACAATTATGATCTAAAGTATTTATACTCAGGCATAAGAGATGAAATATCAACAGAAGAAAGTATGATTACATTACATTATTGTCTTTTTTGTAATAAAATAAAATATTTTTTTACAAAAAGCAGTGCATGTTTATTACATATCTGAACAGTTTGTAAACATATTATCTAAGTACTATGCTTTGGATTATATAATTGTCCAGCAATTAATAATTATAAGAGACTGTCAACTGAACTATTAGAAAATAATAGACCTTTATTTTTTGTACAAACTGCTTTATTACATATAGAGGTTACTTGCATGTTCAGCCAAAGATAAAAAAAAACAGTTACTTGTCTAGACCGAGAAGAATATAATGCAGATATTATACTTGTCTTGAAGCTATACAATAAATAAATTAAACAAGTTGCTAAATCTAATAATAATTCTTTAAAGGTTAATCTATTAAAAGAACTCATCAAAATGTTTGGCAACATCACCTCTAATATTCTTAAGAATACTGTTATTATGCCTTCTACCATTTATTTAGAATCTATAGTGCCTAGTTTTTTTTTAATTAAAACAGCATTTGCTGTTCACAAAAATGATATTAGTAAAAAGAAGAAAGCAACACAATTAAAACCCACTATGTGTAATGAATTTGAAAAAATGCTTGCTTATCCTATATTACAAGAATAATTAAAACTCAAACAAAGATTGTCTTTACTTGAAGAGCCCAATTTGCTAAATAAATATTATAATGCTATGCTATCATCTCTTGTAAACTTCTTTTTTGGCCTTATTTTAATTCTAATAGAAAATAAAAATAAGGTATTAGTAAAAAAATAAAAAGAATAAGAATTGCCACTACTACAATTGAATGAGAACAAATCAAAATGCATTTTCTTTTCTTCTCTTTAGTGCTACTTACTATTGCTTTTTCTAATTAGGAAAATAGTTTACTTATGTACTTTTTTCATTTTGCTAAAGACCAAGAATGATTGGATATTTGCATAAAATTTTTTATGCTATTCAGATTATAGCACATGTTAGAGACTACAAGCAAGTATTTAAAAAAAACAGATATTAGCTACAATCCTTGTTCAAGACTTCTTGACATAAATATATATCTGGATGTCTTAAATTTTGCAGTTATAGACAATATCAATATAAAAGACAAGACTATTTAATATAGTAATATTTATAAAGTAGTTCATGCAACTGCACATGCAACCTTGCAGATTGTTTTTCAATTCAAGCATCCAGAGTCTCCCAACTTCAAACAATTTGAAATTCAAGATTTCTTTGGAATAAGCTCTATAATGAAAGTGTAAAATGTAAAAATAGATAAGATTTTTAGTTAATTAGTTAACTAAGAACAAATAGTTGGTATTGAACAAATCAATGCAGCTCTTAAAGAAAATGTTAAATTAGTATTATTTTTAACATCTCTGAATATTGTGCTTCTTGAAACTGAAGAGGTATCAAGCAAAACTAAGAACGTTCATTAAGCTGTAAATATGTATATAGCTAATTTTGGTTATACAGAAAATGGTGTATTGAATTTAGTATATAATGAAGCAATATATTATTATATAAAAGATTACAAAAATGAAGAACAAGAAGTGCATTGCATTCTAGAACAATAGACACAAATAAGACAATATGCAATGCTTTAATTGTTGCTTTTTTAAGATATAGGCTTTTTAAGTTGCTGTATAACTTGATGTAAAATTTCTTGATAAACTTGAGAAAAATGTTGAATATTGATTAACATTTTGGGTATTAGAACTTATTTGAACAGCTATTGGAGTTGTAATTAGCTGTATCTACAAAAAAATAATATTTTAATCGAAAAAAGTTTGGTACAATTTTTACCACTGGGCAGAATATCTAAAATTGCACAAACTTGAAATTTATATAACAAATTTTGACTTACAAATATATAGCTTGATGGCATTTGCTCTTTTATTTCTAATAACAAAAAGAATAAGATATACAGAGTCTGTGGCATAAATTTTAACAGATCTCTAATGCAATCTACAGTTACTATAAGACCTTCAGGCAGTGCTTTCAATAAATATAACTCTAGAAGAAAGTTCTTTTGCTTATGATAAAGCTTTAGAAACACTTATCAGATACTTAAAAAAAATATAGTTAGATATAAGACTGATTTAAAAAATCCAAAATAAAATATAAAATCAACATAAGCAGAAGATAAATGACTTAATTTTCTAATTTCTAAATTTACTGAAGATTGAATAATAAGCAAGAATCTACAAGTTGTTAAAGATCATTAAGAACTTTTTTGAAATTGATTAATAAGCTTAAAGCAGAATTAAGTAACTTATAGCCAAAATTACATGCATTATTTACAAAAACAATGCAGTTAATAATGGCTGGCTATCAATGAATGTTTTCTATTACTAATCAAAAATTAACAAAATGAATAAGATTACTGCACAAATTATTCATAATGCAGCTGTCAAAGTAAGAGTGAAATGTGATAAACTGAACCTAATACCTATAAAAGTAATAAAAAAAATAAATATAAAAAAATATTAACCAAACAGAAACAATGAATATAGAAAAAATAGGCAGTGATTTTATTCATACTTTAGAATTATATGACACAAAAGTCAACAAAATATCCAAGACTCATATTCAGCACTCTTGTCAAAAACTAATCCATATTCAAAAACCAACCTGTTTTTTGAAACTAATTTACCTTTTAAAATTAATTTGTCTTCTACACTCAAGTCTCAAAAGCTATATATAATACAAAAACTAAACTAAAGAAAAAAAATTTTAAATCAGTTTAAGAAATATAAAGACTCCATTGTGTTTCCTAAAGAGTTTGTTGATAATCTAGTAAAAAAACTGACATTATATGAATACTGAATGTCAAAACAAATTTGGGGTCAGTAGTATAATTGATATAAAAGATCAAAAAAGTTACTTTAAATTTATAAATTATGTAAATATTAAACCAAAAATTATTAATAAAAAAAACAAATATCTTAAATATATTTATAAATTTGCAGTATAATTTTTACTAAAAGAAAAAAAAAACTTATTAGCAAAGATCACAAACTATATACTATAAAACAATTTTTCTTAATTTTCAGTATAATGTTTCTAATATAATAACTCTTCAAAGATGCATTTTATAAAAGCTCTAACCATATATATTTAACAAGCTATTTTTCACATTAAGATTTTGGAAACTCCAAAAGATTATGTGAAAGAAGGCAAAATAATTACCTATTTTTAAAAGATTACATATTACTAAGTTGTATTAGTTTTTTCTGTACTTTATACTGTTTAATTTGTTTAAGTCTTAGCAACTTATTTGGTTTATAGAATATTATTTTTTATAACTAAAACTTTTGAGAAAATTTTAAAAATGTGATTTTATCAATTTGTGTAATTTATAAAAATCATATAATAAAAAATCAAATGTGACATCTCAATCAACTAAAATTAATTAATTTATAAAAAGAGATTTTGATATTATTTTAATCTAATTTATATATCAATATTATATTAAATAAATTTTTTTCTTAAAGATGACAATATTTTTAAATAAATATTCTGTTACAAAAAGATTTTTATGAAAGTGAAGAAAAAATTTATTATTATTATTTTTTTTTTTTTTTTGCTCTTAAGCAGCCATGCTAGTACTTTATTAAGATTCTTAAAACTATATACAATAATTACATAGAATTTTCCTAATAACTAAGTTTAGCATCACCTGGCCACCCTATTGGTACCTAAGTGTGACCTGCTGCACTACTCCAATCAGAGGTAGACTGCTTATCTGGCTACTTAAAGCCATACTAAAAAGAATTTCTCTCTTTTGAGACAAGCATTAACTGTCTTCAATCCTTTCTTTAAATTCTTCCTTCTTCTCAAAGTGCCAAAAAAAGAGGGGTATTATAAAATTAAATACAAATAAGAAAATGACTAAAAAAACCAAAAGTAAACAAACAAAACCCAAATCAAAACAAAATAGCAAAACAAACATATAATAGTAAGAAAAAGAAAAAACAAAAAGAAGGCCGAAGCCTCAGCCAGAGCAAATTGTAAAAATTATATAGTACTGCTACTTCTAGTTTTTATTTTAGAAATAGGTCTATACTATATGTAAATATCATTTGATGATAGAGATGTTGGTGTTTAATTTCTTTCTCACCAGTTCTACAGCTGACTCTTTCACTCCAATTAGAGTTACTCCTAATTTCAGAAAAGTGATAATTTTCCTATTTCCAAAATGGATGATTTCTGTAGATCTTTCATAGATGGTACACTAAATTCCCACTTCTTGTAAAAACTTCTATCAAAAACCAAGCGAAAAATATGGTAGTAGTGTTCAGTTAGCAGGTATCTTTGAATTTCTAGTAAATATGTTGAAAACTTGCTTATTGTTCTCCTATAAGGTCTACTATTTTAACTTTGTTAACAGAAGCTAAAATTTCTACTAAAATTTGTTATACAAGGATACCTCCTGCCAGTTATCTTGTATATGTGTGCTTTTAGTTTGCTTGCTAAATATATAAAGGAGTCCAGTGTAGTAGAACCACTTTGACCTTTATAAAAACCATTATTTATATAGTAGCCTCTTCTACTTTCTCCAATAAGTTTTTTGTTTTTGTTGGTATTAAATTTGATACAAGTGATCATCAAAGAGAGTTGATCTGTTGTTGAAAAATTTATTATACTTTTTGTAATATTCTTATAATTTAGATTTATATTTAAAAACTAATAAGCAAAAAGACAAAACTGAATTATTAGATTTGGTGAAATATCAAATCACAAAATTTACTATATTTTAATACTTGAGTAACTTATAAACAAGAAATTAATTTTATTTAATTCTTTTATTTGAATTTATATTTTATATTTTAGATATAGATATAGAGCATTTATTCCTAATTATAAGCATATTCTAGATAAAAAATAAGAGCTCTTACTGAAAAAAAATTGTAAGGTAGATTTTTTTTATATTTTAACAAGTATGTTTTTGGTAAAGATGATATAAATGTTTTTTTAAAATATAAGTTCTTAATAATTTTTTAATTGCCAATTATGCTATTTTTTACTAACTATTTCTGTTATATGTATTTCTCAATTTATGTTAATTATTAATTTGCATCTGTTATTTTTCAATTTTCACCAATTGATAAATAACCTAGGTTAATTCTTAATACTAATTAATGATAAATAAATAAATTTTGAAAAATTTTCTTTTAAAATTATGTATGTTTTTTCCTCTTTTTCTACTAATAAATTTACAAAATTATTCTTTTCTGACCTGTAAGATTCTTAACTAAATATTAGAAACATAGACAAATCAAAAAATAATAATCAAAATTTGATGAATAGAGAATGCTATAATAAATTTCTTAATATATTAAAAAATCATTAGCAAAATCTTATATATTCAGTTTATAATATACAGGAACATCAAATTTATAATGTTTAACATCCAAGTCATACAATTTATACTATGCAAGAACTCCAACACAAAATCATCTAATATAAAAATGCTTAACTCAAGAATACCTAAGAACACTTAACTTATATATTTTAAAGTAAAAAATAAAAAAAAATTTGAATTTTAACTAAAATTTACTGATATGAATTGAAATAACAGTGCAAATAATAATGGTTCAAGTCAAAAAAACTCACCCAAATTCTTGTAGTTGTGAAAAATAAATTGAAATACTAAATATTGCTTTGTAGAAATAAAAATTTATTATACTTAAGGCACTATTAGATGTATTTTATATAAATAATACAAACATTTTTTAGTTATATTAGTAAATGTTAATATATATTGTATAAAAATAGTGTATAACATTTCTACTAGCTATATGCTAACTATGTTTGCTATTAATAACTACTGGATTCACTAAATTCTAATATAGTTTGATAAGTTGATTATACTTTTTTTATTAATAAGTACATAATTATTATTAAAAATAAAAGCTTACTTAAGTTTGATAACATTTTTATTTACAGTAAAACTGATATATGTTATTTTTCAATTAGTAAAAATTGAAAAATGTCATGTGTCAATTAACAATTGACAGAATTTGAAAATAAAGCAGAACATAAATTTAACTATTCTTAAGATAATTACTTATTACACAAAAAATTAAATCATACTATGCAACAATTTAGTATGTCATTAGTAGTAAATATATATTATTATTGTTTATCATAGAACACATCCCTTTTATAAATGAACATCTTTCATGACCAACAATGTATCTGTGTTTAATTGTAGTACAGTATCAGATTGAGTTGCTGAACAAGAAATATAGTATTATGTGATTAGCTTTTATGAGTATCATATTATTATTTTACTTTGTTTTTTATTTTCATTTTTTTTTTTTTGGGAGGGTATAATAAAAGGAAGCTAGACACAAAATTGATTAGGAAAATTCAAGAACAAAGAAACACATAGATTATCAAGTTATTCAAATACATAATGAACAAGTCAGATAAAATATTATTATATTGAAAGCTCAGTGACTTACAATAATGTACTATCTTGTTACTTTGTTCACAAGTGGTTCATTATTATTGTTTATCATAAAACACATTCCTTCTATCAAATGAACACCTTTTATGAACAATAATACAACTATATCTAATTATAATACTATATGGAATTGTTAATGAGGATTATTCAGAACTAAAAATCTAATTTTTCTTTCTTGCTCTTGATTTCTACTAGGTAATTAAGATTCTAACATCTGTTATTACTTATAAACAAAAACTTACAACTTTTATTTTATTCACTTATTATTTATTCTATTATATTATTTATCTCTTTCTTATTTTTTTGGAGCCTTTAGCTCTAACAATAAATACTATTTTAATTTGCTTTCTTTATTTATATTTTATTTATATAAATAATTAGATTGTTTCTAATCAGTTTTTTGCAATTTCTTATTCTTTTTTATTTTCTTTCTTTTTCTTTTATAGACATCATATTATTATCTTATTTATTTACTCAAATATAAGTTCTATTTCCTTTCTTTTTTTTTCTTTTTAGCTTCTAAGCTCTATCAATAGGTACTGTCTCATTCCTAATTGCATTCCTTTATTTTTTTTTTCTTTTTTTTTTAGAACTTTATAGCTTTAAAAATTTTAGCCTTTACAGTAAATACTGTTTTCAGATATAACCTAACTGCTTTTAAGTTCTAGCTACTGATTGCCTGTATTTGCACAAGGCTTATGCCTGCAGACTTTACTGCTGTGGCTCCTTTGATACATAATAAATAAGTTATAAATCTGCTATTTAGATCTGAATGTTTAGTGAACCATTTTACTATTGATCTAATTGCCAAAATAAAGACCTTCCTTCATTGTTTTGACAATAATAATAGTGCATTCACATCAGTTATCAGGCAGCTTCCTAGGTATTGTTTTAATAATTTGTTAAGCAATATTTCGATTTGGTATTTTTAACAAGTATAAACTTCTATTTCTAAATTGGTCCATTTTTGATTTACATATCTGGATCCTTTATTATTTTATTTTATGTTTTTCAAAAACAGGTTCTTTAATTCTTCAGGTCTACATATTGTTCTTAATTCTAAGGTCAATAGTACAATATTTTTCTTATACACAAATCTGTTAGATTAAAAAGGTAATATGTCTATGTAATGTCTTAATTCCACAATCAGTAATGGGTCACATAGCCAATTAGGTGTCTTATCATTTGAAACCTTCTTTTTTATTGCTTTTATCACCTGTGTTACTACTAGAGATTTCCTGAAATCTTTCTTTCCTTTAAAACAGAAGTTGCTTATGACTACTTGCAATATTTAGTGAGTTTGTAATGCCAGGTTTATTACATTCAGCAATATAATAAATGCCAAAATATATCCAAACTAAGTTTCTTACAAAAGGTTGTGTAAAAACTCCAATATTTATCAGCTTTTGCCTTGTAAAAAGGAAACACTAAGTCCTTTACTAATTTCTTTTTCTTTTTAGACAATTTCTTTATAAATGGATGTGGATGGCCAGACATCTTCACTGCAAATTCCTCTAGGATTCTACAAATCCTAACAGGCTGGGTACAAATGTTGTTCTTAAATTTGGAAGAGCTAAGGCTTTCTATTCTAATTTCAGAAGCAGCAGCCACCATCTTGCTGACAACCATACTGGAACTATGATAGTGAACCTTTGATCTGCAATTTTTTTCATGATAAAGCACTTTTTAAATAAGATGCAAGGGGGCATACATAGTTCATGTTGTTCTCTTGCCTTTGGATAAAGCAATTTATTGCTTTCATCTCTAGGCAAAAATAGAAGCTATTAAATCTCTGGAGCTTTGTATTTAAGTGTAAAGTCATTCATCTATTAAATGCAGTTCAAAGGTGGCCTTAATTTGCTAAAAACCTTCTCTCTGACATATTAATCTAAAAAGTCAAAAACTTGTATTCAAAAATCTACTAGATTTTTTGCTAAGAGCACTTATCTTATCTTGTAGATTCTAATATTCTTCTTTAGACAAATTTGCTACAGGTTTCTGTAGGCTTTCTTTGCAACTAGTGTTTTCCATCTAACCTTATTGTTGCTAATGCTGTGCAACTGTCTATGAACACCAACATCCAGAAATCTATCAAAAATTTTGTGAAGCTTTGTAATCTGAGTAAGGTGACTTTTGCTTCCAAACTTGCAATTTTCTAAAAACTTTATGTTTTTGTCCAATTTCTGAATACTGTTCTTCTGTCTAACTTTGTGACTAACCAGTTGTTGAGATGTTCACAAACAAACTTTTTATTAAAAACAGCCTTTAGACTAGATAACAATTGTACTTCTTCAGATTGTCCAACAATCAATATAAATTATTTTTACCTTTTCTGATATATAAATCCTCTTGTTCTATCTCTAACTTTACCAGTTTGCTGAGTTTATCAGTGAGTAAAACTTTAAACATTTTATTTGCATTAGGGCAAAGGCTCTTGCTAAACTTTGAATCTTGTCTGTGACCTGTGTCAACTGCCTAGCTAATATCTTATTTTCTTTCAACAGTGCATTTAAACAGACTTTTGTATCTACTAACTTCTGTTCTAGTACAATTTTTATTATTATTATTATTATATAATATTAAGTAAAAAAAATAATAATATATAGATATATTAATTGAATATAAATATATAAATAAAAAATTCCTAAACTATATTATTGTTGCTATATATATAATGACATCTAGCATGATATTAACCATTAATTTTCTGTTTTAGTTAAATCACTATTGTAATCATTAACTACAAAGAAGGGTAAAAAGAACCCTTAAGATTGTTTTAATTAGTAAAAGCAGGTATATATAGTAAAATTTTGAGAAAGAGTTTTAAAAATAAATTAGTTAATATTAGTGTTAAATGCAAATATATTGTTATTGGTATTAGAAGATTTTATGATAGGTAATCAAACATTGTTTTTTTTTTAGTAAGAGCAGTAATTTCTTATACTAATTTTCATACATGTTGTTTGGTATTACAAGTTTGCTATATAGTTAGATTGAACCAGTTGAGTAGAGAGTTAGATAAGAAGATAAGAAACTTGTTAGTTGGTTTTTTTAGAATTAGTTAAAATTGTTTATATTAGTCAAGTATTATTGTGTCTTTAATAAGTAGAAGTATTGTATTATATATAGTAGAGTTTGAAAAGAGATTTTGTAAGTTGAAGATTTAAATTATAGTATGTAGTGAAGTTTCTAAAAAGTTTAAAGAGCTTAAAATATTAGTGGTTTCATTGATGAGAATGTTTTGTGGATTGTAAGTATAAAATGAGCAATAGAGTAAATGTTCAGTATTTTCATATTAGTACAATAGAAGCAGTTTGAATTTAAGTAGAGTAAAAAATAATGAATATTTAAATTTAACATTGTTGGCAAGTTATTAAGCAGAATTTTGTTTCTAATTTAATAGAGTTAAATTAGAATTTTGAAAATTAATAATTTCAGTAAGTGTAAGATTTTTATAGTAGAAAGATTTCATAATGGTTTAAGATGAAGAAGTTTGTTAAATGTTTAAAAGAAAAGAGGTTTTTGCAGAATTACAAAGTTTGTATATAATTGGGATTTCTTTCCAAGTAAAGAAGGTAGGTAAGTAAATATGGTCAAAATTATATTTTAGTTATGTTTTTTTTGCATCTTGTTTAGCTAAAACATCAGCAATATTATGTAAAGTGTTATTTGAATGTGATTTAACTTTGTGCAAAATATAATTTATATTTTTAAGTTTAGTTAGATAGTTTGAAATATAAATAATATCTCAGTTATTTTGTTTGGTTTGAGAATCATAGTTATAAGAAATTGAATTAGTAAGAGTTTATATAGTAGATAAGCTGTCTAAATAGATATGAATTGAGTAGTTAGAAGATAAGATAAGAAATAAGAGCATAAGTGCTGCTAGTTCAGCTCATGTTGAGTTTGGTGCAAGGTTTATAGAAGCATTAAATTTAATTTGTATAACATTTTCCAGAATCCAGGCTATGCCAGAGAGATATTGCGTGTTTGTGAATTAAGTATAAAAGCATCTGTATAAAAATGTATATTAGTTGGTTCAAGAAATAGTAATTTTTTATGAAAGTTTATAAGTTGGTTTTAATATGTAGGGTTAGATATTGGGTTTTGTATTAGAAAGATTTCTGAAGAGGATAGTAAAAAAGATGGTAGAGATTTTGGAGCTAGTTTATATAGTTCTGCATAAATGTTTTGAAGTTCTTTAATTTCTTGGTTGTTTATATTAAGTTTGAAGTTTTGTTTTCTTTTTTGTGTTTTGCATTTAAGATTAATAATTTGTTTGTAATTTATTTGAAGCATTGTTGATGTAGAAGAAATGTGAATTGTGTTGGTTGTTGAATTCATAATCTGATATTTTTGAAAAAGTACTTGAGAGTTAGATGTATTGGTTATTTTGCTAATATGCTAATCTAAAGTATAATGTAAAGTGACTATGTGTTTTTCAAGGTAACAAATTGAGATATAATAAGGTTTAATGTATTTAAAAAATAAGTTAATAGGTTGGAGTTGAAGATTAGGCCATATGTGCAAAATAGGTTGATCAGATATTTGGTTTAAAAGTATTTTAAACCATTTTGGAATAAGACCACATAGGGGTTTAAGAGTTCTGAGATATATATTTTTTCAAGAAAGAAGGTTGTGATTATCAGCTATAAATAATTGTTCTAAGAAAAGAATTCTATTGTTTTTAAGACTTAAAGTTGTTGAGTTGTTAGAAGTTGCGATAAAATTATAAATATTATTCAGTTGATTAATATGTTTGTAGATTGTTAATTAATTTAGAAAAGTGTTAATAATAGAGATATTATTTTTGTATAAGTGATAAAGTTAAAATATTATAGTATAGTTGGTAGATTTCCTATAGTTAGTTAAAATTGTATCCTAAGTTAGAGATGATTTCTATATTTTAAAAAGCCAATTCTTGATCTGGTGTATAGAGATTTGGTTTAGGAGTATATTAGTATTAAAACATCTTTCTATGTTACTGCTACTAACTTGTAGTATAAGTTTGTTGAGTAGTTGTGAATTAGTAAGTATGTCATTATTTGTATTAATAGATAAGTGTAGAATATGTTTAGTGCATTTTGTTAGGAGACTTGATAATTGTTGGAGTTTGTTTTGTAAAGAAGAACATATTTGAATTAGATATTCTATTAATGATAATAAGATAGTATTAAATAGTTAGAATTTTGTATAAGAAAAAGTTTTTTGTATTGAATACTATGAGTAAATTGAGAAGATTTGCTAAAAATTTTTTTGAGTATGAGTTTAGTAGAGCCTTTGCCATCTAAAAAAATTACTAGATATCTTATTATTTCATTAAGTTTGCAAGATAAAATTAGTTTATTATTAAAGTTTAAAGGTGTTATATTTGGAGTACTATTAGATGATATTTTTTTGTTAGATGGAATGTGGTCTGATTTGAATAGGTTAACTTGAATATTGTTTAGTTGATATAGTTCAGATATGTCATCTAGAATCTCTTGCAGATCATTTTTAGATTCGTAATGCCAGATAGTATCATCTATAAAGAGAAGAGGCAGTATTGTTATATGAGTTAATATAGTTGAGAAGATTGTTTCTAAGGGGATTGTGATGATATTTTGAGAAGTTTTGAACTGTATTTTGAGTTTATGTAACTGAGGATAGGATTATAATAGTTTTTTAGAGTAATAAAGAATAGGTTTCTCCTTGTTCTATGCCTGAATAAAGTGTAATTAGATCAGTAGGACCATAGGCTGTGATTGCTTTGGCTTTTCTATCTTGGTGTAGATATTTGATAAAATTGAGACCAGATTAGAAGATACCAATATGTTTGCAAACATCTAGTAGGCATTTAATATTAATTTTATTGAAAGCTTTGGACATGTCTTAGAAGAGTATCCATGCTTCTTTGTTGTTAGTTTTATAATATTCTATTGTGTTAATTAATATTTGTATAGAAATATGTGTAGAACTGTTTTTGGTTACTGCAAAAATTAAGATTATTTAGTAGGTAATGTTGATTAATAATTTGATTGAAATGTGTGATAAAACTTTTGGTAAGACCTTTTTTAATAAGTTTAATAAGGGAAATCAATCTAACTTAATCTAGAATAAAGTTCCATGTAGATTTTTTGGTATTAGAAAAATATTGGATGTTTTTTATATTATTGATATTTGTTGTAATGAAAGACATTTTGTTAAAAATAATCAAATAATATTTTGGACTTTAGAGTTTAGGTATTTTAAATGTTTATAATTTGTTTCTGATGGACCTGCAGCTTTTTGATTTAGAAGGTCATGTATGACTTTGTTCCATTCCTCTAAAGTAATTTCTGAAAATAGGTTATTGAAAAGATGTTTATTTACTAGATGAGGTTTGTAAAGTTTATAGAATTTTGAGTTTTCTTCTATTGGTATATATGGTAGTTTTTAAAGTAACCTTAAAAATGGGATTGTAAAGCTTGTTTTATTTTAGATAGTTGGATAGTGAGTGTATTGTTAGATAATAAACAGTCTAAGTTAATACTATTATTTGGTTTTTCTAAAACATTCTGAAAAAAAATTTTAGAGTTTTGATAAAAGTTGATGTTTCTTACTTCCAGTTTGTTTTGTATTTCTTTTAAAGTATT